GAGATGGGCATCGCTGCCTACGCCGACGGCCAGAGGCCCGCGCATCTACATTTTTTCGCCTGACCCCATCAGTGCCGACCCAACTACACCACCACGCGCATGCCTCGCGGCGGATATGCGCAGCAGCAAGAAGGTTTCGGTCATCCCTTGAGGGTGAGTCTAGCCCTGCTCGCCAGAAAGACCCCCCCCTTCACTACAACCCATGTCTAAGCAAAAGCTTGTCGAGGAGCGAGGGGAAGAAGGGAGATGTCCCATGCTTTGATGTTAATTCAGGATTTTCATCTCGTATATTTACGTACTTTTCTGGGGCTCATCGTCTTCATTCTTGCCCCATCCTCATATGGGCTTTATTTTGTCTTAACAGCATACTTGCGAATCTGATTCTGGCGTATCGGCATGCTGTTAAATATTTTTTACATCCCTTCATCGCAGCCTGCCGCATGTGTTTGGCTGGAATGTTCAATAGACCTTCGTTCCATGCGACATCGGCCGTCGTTTCAAACGAACGCGGGCTTACCGCTTCACTTATGGATCTGATCTCCGTTTTCGGTCTGCTAATTGCGCACGTATGGACCAGTATTCGTGCGAGTGCAATGAATGGGAGTGGTCCCCGACGGTGCGACAGAGAATTCGCTTGCGCGTCACGTTCGGTTTTCTTTCACGTTCTTCATCCTTCATTCCTGCCAACTTTGGGCTGTGCCGACCTTGCCAACTGCGCAGCATATCCATATTCTTCTTACATGCATACCTTCATTATCCATAACATCTGTATCGGCATATTGCCTTTCTCTTCGCAAACGATCATTCACGTCTTTCATGCCTACCTCGACATCTCCCAACTCTATTCGAATTGTGCCCATCCCCACGGTGTTTGCCATCGGGGTTTGGGTTTTCGTCGCTTGGCACCGACGTTGTAAAACAAGCCGCCCCCAACGATGTTTGCCATTGGGGTGGGGTTTTCGTCGCTTGGCAGCGATGTTGTAAAACATGTCGATCACCGTGAGCTAAGCAACCAGGTTTCCGTATTTTATTTTTGCCTTTTTCCTTTTTGCAGAGACTTTGAACGGTGGTCGAGCAGATTATGTTGTGCGGGGTCGAGAACCCTCACTCTGCGCAAGAGGGATAATCGCACCACATTGTGTTCAATTGGTCAAGTATCCTCGAGGCAGTTGCACAGTGCTTACAACTTTCTCTGGAGTGAAACCAGGAAATAAAATAAGCCATAAACAGCTGTCATTCGTACGCATAGAAGTAAGCACAAGATGCCGAATACCCGTGGCCGGATGCAGCGCACCCTTCATGCGACTGCGAATATCTCACGGCGCTTCGCGCTTGGTGATGTGAGAGACTGGTCCGGTGAGAACCCGGCGTGCTCCGTCCCGCTTTGTAGGGATGCGAGGTAAATGGTCTAACGACTACGGCGTGCATTACTGTGATTACACCGCCCGCCCCGCCCCCGGTGGGTGGGGTGGCCTTTCGGGTAACCTAGTACATATGACTTGTGCAACATTCAAGGAACCAACAATGTTTTTACCACGTTTCTGCGACTACTACAGTGTTTGATCACTTTTCCTGCATTCCTATAGCAACCCGCACGCTCATACTGTTCTTCGTTTTCACCTCATATTCTTGCGTCATTCTCTTCGGTTACTACGTTCAGTGAATTACCACGTGCGGTTCCGTACGCGTACATTGCTGTGTTGCGAGCTCTTCTGCCTAATGAAGGGTAGCATCTGCAGATATCGCGAACACCCTTCCAGTCCACTCCCGCGTTGTATGTTGCCGTAGGGCATGTCTCTGCAGTACCTTGTTCGGGTAGGAAACTTCGATAGCCCAGACGTCAGCATGTGTCTAGAACGGCTCAAACTGCCGTTTTCCGTCTCGGTCATTCACAAAATGCTTTCACCTTACGGTCGTTACGCTCCTCCATTGACCGGTTTTGGTTTATCAATTGTGTGATGCGTATCCACCTCCTTCGCCTTGGGGTTCGGGCCTCGCCGCCCAATGGGGGCGGAGAAGCCCCTCAATGCCCTGGTTGCCATTTTTTCTTACTTCTTCACGAAGCGGAGCGGAGCGTGTTTTTTCATCAGGAAATGTCCCGGAGCGGAGCGGATCAAACCGACTGGTTAGTCCTGAACGTCAATATCATCCAGACAGCCTTGCGTACTCCACCACCTTGATCTTGCTGCCTGGGAGGCCTATCACGGTTAAACCCGTGGTGAAGCCGAAATTGCAGTGCCGATTCTGCCACCGGCTGGCGGTGTATGTTTGCGACCAGTGGGGGTAGACTAGGCGTGTACAATGGAGATATGTAGCCATGAGTACAACTGGATCTTGTCCGGCCGTTGTCCATCCGCACAAACCCAAAACCTGCAGTGAAAACTCCTTGTTGCGCACGACAAGCACCCAGCGTGCCAATAGCATCTTTGCGCCCGGATCCTTTGACGTTTCCATCCGCAAGAAGTCCGTGACACCTGCTACGATGATGGCGACCCCTGGTCCGTGCGTTGCCAACTTTCGAATCTATGCCAATAGATTGTGTCCTCCACGCATATTTGAGTGACGACTGTGGTGGGAGACGTGAACGGTCGCACTTTCTAATATGTGAAGACATGGGCTTCCAAGCAGAGGATGGTATTCACGATGGCCTGCTGCCATATGCATCTCAGGTGTGAATGTAATGGCGGGCACATACACGTGTGACGTTCGCTCGGCAGTTGCAATTTCAGTCACGAACCTCCAATTTCGAACATATGGCTTGACTCTGGTTGTCCCCATATCACTGCCAAGAGCGCATGTACATGTACACAGGTATGCAGGAGACTTGGCTGTTGATCACCATGCGTTGTTCTGAAGGCCTGGTTCTCCACTTTCGGTATCGATTTCGGGTTGGCGATCGAATTTTGTCCCCGGGAACTGCTTTGCAGCCACAGGGTTTCACTCAAGGGATTTGAATGGATGTGTACGGAGATCACACCTCATGAGCCGATTGTTGGGTGATACAAAGAGCACATCGAAGGCCGAATGCCAGTCACAATCATCACATTACTAGCTAGGAGCCTTCATTAATCGTAGCACGCCGGAACAACAACGGTTCGGTGAGTGTATGTTTGTCGCCGTTTTTTCTCTCATTTGCCTCTGTTGCGATTGTATTCCGGCGACGTGCACAACCGTACGTGGGAACAATACGAATTACTGGTGCCAGCCCACTACTTTTGGGAGTGTGTTTCCGATTCCCCGAGCAACCTACTACGATATTTCTTCTGTAAAATTAACGAAGAAGACTGTGAAGAAGGCTTCGGGCCATCTTTCATGTGAGCAATTTTCTCCATGGAGCAGCGAGTTTTGCGTGGATGCCACGGAAACCGTTTCGGTCGGACCGTCCTGCCCCAGTGGATGAAACGACCTCCACATCCGTGTGTCCATCTAGAGACTGCGTCAAAGTCTCCGTGTCATTGGCATGACCCTCGTTACCTTACCAGCACGAAGCACAAGAAGACACAAAACTTTAAATGTACTCGTCGGAAATCTCAACCTCGGAAATTTGTTACATTTTTTGCAAAAATTTTGATGCTTTACCAAAAAAAAACACTGGAGATGGTGCCCTGTGCACGGATTACCCCCGGAGAACAAATTCGGCTTCCGTTCGGGCGCCCTAACGTACCAGTGATATTGATGACCGCCTTATTCGTGTCGCGTTGACTTTGCAACCATGAGGCCTTCGTTGCCGTGTTCAAAACATAGCCCTGGTAGGCGGCACCACTTTACCGACGAATTACGGTCGGCGTTTGGTTGCACGTCTTCCGCTAAAGTCGTTACCACCAACAACGAACAGACTTGCGGGAAAAATGGGAACGTATCCAAAAATGAGAATTGGCGTTTTTCTTCACAACCATCGGGTGTATCACAGAACCAAAATTATCCTGCGAAACCCCTTCGCCCCAGCTGCGAGATGAGCTCATCAGAACCGCCATGCTCCACATCACGCCTTCTCACGGGCGCAAAAAGCGATTCGTGCTGGTTTCGACCTGATGTCTCGCGATGCTGGCTACCTCGGCGATGCCGAGGATATACAGCTTGAGCAACAGCTCATTCGAAAGCTGCTGTATAGACCTACAGCACTGTCAACTTTTTGGGGGGGGAGTTGCAAAGGCGTGGTTTGCTTTCTAAAAACAAACGCCCATTCTCATGTTTGGATACGTGCCCATTTTTCCCGTAAGTCTGTTAACGCATGAACCACCTACCGCAAATACAATTACTTCCGCATGGCAATACCGTCGAAACGTCACCGCGAGATGTGTTCAATCGCCTCCGCCGAAGTCGATATCATCGCCTCCTACCACCGAAAAAGCTACCGCCGTACGTCATTACCGCCGACAATGTGTCCGCCTCATTATCCATATACCACGTAAATTCTCAGAAATGTCGACAGTGACAGGCAAGCCCGCCACTACCCTTGGGTTCTTTGTCTGGAGCTAAAGTACGCGATGTTTCCTCTTAACTTGAAGGCATAGTCGCGTATATGTGTCCGTAATTTTCGTCCTATCCACTATGGCGACAGGCCTTCATCTTTCGTGATGAGACGTGTAACACACTTTTCAGTGTGTGTATGGTGTGGCGGTTTCGCGATTACAACTAGACCACCGTTTTTTTTCGAGCAACGTATCTATCGTATTATTCAGTCTCGACTCTTGCTCACGAGTCCCTTCTGTCTGTATTCAGGTGCTGTTGAGACATCAGTGGCGACCAGCGAAGGAGCACTGCAAAGGCCGTTTCAAGCATCATTTTCACGAACATGAAAACGCAGCTTCGTTCAACCGAAGAGTTCGCCGGAAAGCCTGAATCTCACCACCCCCGCCGGAACGAGGAACAGTCTCTGCCTCCACGCCTGGAAAACCTCCTGACTGAAACGGTCAGCCCTGCGAGATGGTGGGCTCTGGAGCTACGCCGTGTTTGGTCGCTCTTGTTCGTTGGAGTGGTGGTCATTCTTCTGACTCTGGCGACGACGGGTGGTAGACACACAGGTTGGTGTAGGGCCAAGCGATCCGATGTGTGCCTTCGAGACACATAATCCGTAGCACCCGAGCCTCTACCGCGGCTACTCTTGTTGGCGTTGTGCAAGAGAAAATGTCTTGCTACCGGTTACTCACTCCCACGTCAATGCTCACCTCTACCTAAGCTCTACTATTCTCTTGAACCGGCGGGGTAAACGGGTAATCTTGCACGAAAACATCGGAAATTCGACTGCCCCCACAGCAATTCGCGCACGGGTGAGCTTGCCTTTCGACAATCGTCGAAACCCTAGAACGTACGCCACGATGGGGCTCTTTTGACACGCACAGACGCGCTTGCGCACGCCCCCGCCAACGACGATGATAGGGATATTCGGGTGCGTTGTCAAGGAGTGGAGGCCTTCCCTTCGGCCTTGGATGGGTAATGCCCATTGCCGTTGTACCATTGTTTCGTCTCGTGGTGCGCAGGTTTTGATGCTCCTGCAGATGTGGGGCGTGACCGCGCATCCTTGTCGCAAACCTTTAGCCATGGAGAGCGAAGGGTCACCGACGTTCAAGAAGTTCGTGTCAACTTTGCTTCAGGCAACCCCTCCGATTCTCCAGATGTGGCCTCCCAACCCTCAACCACCGTCTCCAACTCTTCAACAGCGATTCTCCCTAAAACCCACGTCAGCGATGTGTTTCGGCTAGTGTTCGTCGCTGGTTTGGAAGGAACTGGACACCACTACGTCATGTGGGCCAACGCGTCTCTGTTTGGTGACAACATGAACCTTCCTCGCCGTTACGGCCACGGCAAGGAAATATATGAGTATTACGCTCCTCTGAAGATGGGTCAAAACGTCAAGCAGTTTACCATGTCGAGTCACAACGCCGTGGAAAACATGCGGCGTTTGGCGGAGTGGGCAGCCAATTTATCATCGCCAGGGGCACTTGAATTCTTCTCGATTCCGTGCTCGTATCCGGTCAACTCCGGTCCGTTAAAAGTGATGCAGTACATGGACTTGGGAATGATAGCTGAAACTGCAGAGGGCGCAGGCATCGATTTTCGGGTATTGTACCTGCGCCGGTCCGCAAAGGAAGTGGTCATCGCCAACACTGTTCATCGCAAGTTCCACCTGTGAGTAATGTACCTTGCATACAGACTGCGCCATGACGATCTATACCGTAGTGCTATGCAAACATACCAAAACAATGTAGGCATCACATGTTCTTTCTGCAGTACGAAAATGGTAGGCGACCAAGGAAATTCAGGACCACACCTACAGCATAATATCATGTAAGTCTATCGCAGACTGAAGTAGCCGTCGTTGTCTGTTCTTCAACTAAAAATATGGACTACCGTCGATTATTTTCAAGAAGAGAATATGGTCCCCTCCACACGTCCATGTTGACCAGAAAATAGAGTCCCCTCGAGTTTATTTCCTTCTTGAAACAAACACGTTTAACAACGCGCAACCGACATGATCAAGGTCGGCACACGTCGCAAGTGATTTAGAGCATTGAAAATAGGCGCAGCACACGTCTGCCGTCTTCCAGACCTACCGCAGGCTAGTTCGGGCTAGCACAGCTTTGGTAGCACTCACGCATACGAGTAATGCTACGGTAGGGGGGTCACATTATGGGGCATGTGTGACCGACACCACAGGACTGCGCTATATTTGACCAGCCAGAGTAAACCAATTCTGTAGGCACACTTACTTGTGTTCCCGTGTCAGTCACTGATTGATTGCAATAACAGTAAGTATTGGAGAGCGTCACACAACACGGGCCCAATAGCTAATTGATTACAAAAAGCCGGTCACGACGGGTATCCCCCCTACCGTAGCATAGCTCATACCCACAGCATCAGCACGCTTGACAGCTGACAGCAGTACGCGACATTTTCGGTGCTGTCGTGGCAATTAACTCTCCGCATGATACGCGGCAAAGCACCCTACTGCTAGTGTGTCGCTATCCATCACAACGAAATCAAGCCAGTTGTTGCGGCCACTGTTGTGCGCCCAATACATCCATTGAACATAGACTCTTCAATTTGACCACTTGAGATGCATGCATGTTTTACTCACGTCACGAATGCACAGAGTATAGAGGAGTTCTTAGGGCGCCGGTCGGTGAAACGATCCCACCCGTTCTCGAGTCCCGCTACGTTCATTTGTTTCCTTGTTTTCCCGTATATGATGGGTCCAGAGTGTCCCAATTTTTTTTGTTTTCTTGTGATTCGTTGTGTGAAGGAATGTAGACTTTGTCCAGATTTTGCAAATAGTCTACAATAGACAATGTTCATGCACATTAATGCTTGCTCTTCTTTCGGTTACTCCACCCCCATGGGGGCCACGTCATTCGAATGTCTCTCCTCCTTTCTTCGTTTCTCGGGTTACATGTTTCTTTTTTGCAGCTTGTACCTTCTACAATCATTGCTGCATCAAGCAAATATTGACTCGAAAAAAGATAGTGTACAGTCTTGATGGACTGCGCGCCGAATGCAGGAGTTATTGGGGACGCGCGTCTTGGGTGTACGGGTCGAATGCTTTGGACACCAAGCTTGTTTTACCCACGAAGTGAAATAGACAAAATCATGTATTTCTCAAACTCAATGACAGGATTGACCGAGACAGACGCATAGTGCTCGTCGGCCGTTCTCGCACACCTACTCGACCCCTCTCACCTCGTGACCTCCCCGTCAAATCAAGGCGGGGGGGCTGATCCATCACCCTATTATGCTGTATATGTCTAAAGTCTTAAACCTTGGTGTCCATAAGCATCGCAACGGGAATTTCACTGATGAGGCATAGCATCACCGATGCACAGGGTCCGTAACGTGCCCCGTTCCCTTGCATGCCCACCGGTGTTCTAAATGGCAGCCTAATGGGTGATGACGAAGAAACTGTGGGTCAAGAAAGGCTTTTCTTGAAGTACATGAGGGTGCTCTTCACCGACATAGCTGTGCTACACTCCTTCCTGGGCGAGATTGGACCGGAGTTTGTTGTGTGTCATGACTGGGATCGTTTAGGAGACAAGGAGCAGGCATCCACAATTGCTAGCTTCATCTCTCCGAACGATGAAATTGCCAGCTTGGTGGAGTCATCGCTGGTTCAGACGGCTAAGAAATCGTCGAGGACCGACCCGCTGCCGTTTGAGGACGCGTACGCCGTAGTTTTGCGCCTTCAGCGCAAGCTGGACGCGTTTGAACACCTCTACTGCGGCTGAACTGCCTGTTCCATGTCGCTGTCCCGGCGGTCCATGGGGATTAGTTTCAACGGTCGGCGCTTGGTTGCGTTTGTTTGCTCGACCTACTCACGAACGTGCTTGTAGTGGCTCCTGGTTTGTCCGCGCATGTTCGACGGATAAATGAAGGGCTTGGAATGCCCGCGGGGATATTTGTTGTGATGTAGGGAGGCTTCAAACAAGTGCAATGTAGCCAAGGACATTTCGAACACCTAGCACACTGGTGAAATTCTTTACAAAAACAATGCACAATACTGCAGAGCGAAGGTGACATTTGAACGCCAACACGCCGTCATCAGGTCAGTCAACCAACACAAGAACATTGCGCCAACCCGGCGAACATGGTATGGGGGCACTGTGCGATTACCGATAACGTACAGATCAAGTGACTTTGGGACGGGGCGGCGATTTTGCCATCTGGGCGTTGCAAAGAAGACCGAATTTGACTTGCAGACGGTTTTCGATCCAAAATTTCGAATACTTGCAGTAAGGGCGACGATGGCAAAGACCGGACCAAGCAAGCCGTCAATAGATGCTACAGTTCCCTGGGTCTCTTTTTGACCTTAATTCATTTTTTCTGTCTCTGTCATTCGCACAGCCCACTCCAGGTGTCAAATGCTGATCTCCAGCCACAGTGAGAATCTCGTGGCGCCTCAAGTATGGTTTAGTAGCGAATCACAAACCATGACCCCTCCCCGAGTTTGGGGAGCTTCCATCTGCTGCGGCCCACATGACTCGGCCTTGACTGTTCCTCGTCTGTTTCGCCATGGAAACGGCCGGTTGAATAGAGCAACAGGGTCCTGCATGCGGCGCGCCACAATAATGCTCCATATTTTTTGTTTTCGTTTTCGTATGTGTTGTATTTCTAGCTGAGCGATGCTCCAAATGTGCTGCACAACAAGCTTGTACTGCAAGGCTCGTAAGGTAATCGTCTCTATAGGTTGCGCGCGTAGGCAGCGCGATGCTCGCGTATAGGTAACGATGCGCGTCTCTATTGATTGTTTGATTGTGTCGTCATCCATGAAAAACAGCAGTTCGAGACAAAAAGACAGGACCAACAACACGTGAGATCCGCCGTACACAAGCATGTGTGCTGCGTACGTAATTTGGAACTTGGAGGGACAAGGTCGGTTGCAGCACAATCTTCACCTGTGTACACACACACGTCGTGGCAATGAGAACGGTCGATACTTTTCTTGTAATGGTTCACATCTAACACGTACGGCAGGCGTAGTTGAGGAAGTTCGTCCTTGGCGCTTACAGATTAGAAAGTTCAAAATCGGGTCGAAGCTCAATCCCCTTTTTTCGGTCGAAGGACCAGCCGAAGTCGTCCGTTTTTCAAGGGTGTTTCTTATTCCTTTCGACTGTCGCATCCTCCTGATTCTCTTGTTCTATTTTTTCTCATTTCTGGCTAAGAATACAACAAAAAATAGTCTGTAGCAGTGGGTGGCCCGGGTAGGCGCGGAGTAGCTACTAGCGCGGAGGCGGGGGGGGGGCGGCTGTACTCATAGTCGTGCATAATCCTGTCTGTGTCCACCGTCTTGTCGCGGGCAGCCCTCGTGGCCTACGGGTGGAGATAGCGGTTGCGTCTATAGAAGAACACTCGCCTCGTTCTGCTGTACTTCTGTCTCTCTCCCCGCACTCTCTCCTCCCCGTTTTTTTTGCCGCGAAAAAAAAAAGCAAGACCCAAAGGGAATAATCACGCTAAGTTTTACAAGGGGGTTACGCCGTCGACCTATCGGTCGCCGGCTGCGCCGCAAAGTCGACAAAGAAAGGACGATACGGAAAAAAAAAACGTTGCTCGGCATCTCGACGGCAGTATGAAGGAAAGACGTTGCAAAAATGCACGAGAGCAGCGGGATGAAGTTGCCAAGGGGTTGTACCTTACAAACGTGAATGCTACAAAAGTGAAGAACGAAAAGAATGACTGACCCGCAAACGACAACGAACGCAACATGAACTTAAAAATTTGAATTGTTCATCAACTTGAAACGGATAGGGAGGACATGAAGGACGTTGCTCAGGCAAGCAGGGACGAACCGGAAAGCACCCTCTTCTTGGAACCTTGACTCCGAAGCACCACTACCCGAAACAGAGTCAACGTTAACGAGAACGAAAGGAAGACTGACTCCGATAAAGCATCGCGGAAAAGTATGTATATTGTACGATGTTCGACCCTTACTGTAAAGGTTTGGCCGAAAGCAATGCTACAGCAAAATCATCTAACGTCGCGACGAAGTGAAATGCCAATTGAACACATCGGACGCAAATGAAGTGTCACACGGAAAAGGTAAAAGAGCGCTGAGAGAGATGCTCAATCAAGTACTTCCTCCACTTACACTGTACCCCACGACTAACTTGTATAGAAGAAGTCGATCTCAAACCACCNAACGTCGCGACGACGTGAAATGCCAATTGAACACATCGGACGCAAATGAAGTGTCACACGGAAAAGGTAAAAGAGCGCTGAGAGAGATGCTCAATCAAGTACTTCCTCCACTTACACTGTACCCCACGACTAACTTGTATAGAAGTCGATCTCAAACCACTACACTAGTCAGCGCTGACTACAGTCCAATGGTTAGATTTCGGCTTCAATACACTACAAAATAGTACATTGAGGAAGAAAAGCATCCGATTAAAGGATAAAAGGAGGTGTTACCCAACGAAGCAGGAAGAACCCTAAACGAACCCGCAATAAAGGTAACAAGAACAACGTCAACCGATTTCGCCGGCGACCTACCGGTCGCCGGCTCAACCGCAAAATCGAAAAAGACGATAGGAGCAAATGCACGAGAGCAGCGGGCTGATGCGAAGAGGTTGTACGTTTAAAAGCCAGCGTCGACTCAAGTGGGGCAATTTCAGCTTGACGTCATAATCACTCTTCTGGCGGATCTCTTAACCTCGAGGGTGTCCCAGACATGGTTGTTGAGAGACGGGCAACACGCAGAAATGCATAGCGGGAAGGTGTGGCGGCGTGTCTACGTCAACAGAAAAATGTGGATGGGCGAATTTGAGCGAGTGGCGAAAAAAACACACATACGACGAAAAGCACCCCGCGTTAGTTGCCGACACACAACGCATACATACCTCGAATGCATACTTTGAAAGATGGCAGGGCAATACTACCACTACGTGGTCATACTCAGTTCAAACTTGATGAGAACGATCGTTTGTGTGCGACGACGATGGCGGTGAATTGCATGAAAGGGTGAAGGTGATACGATGGGAACCAACTGGGTACATAATATTCCCAACAACTGTATGAAAGGGTGAAGATGACACGATGGGAACCAAAGTCTGGGTATATCATATTCTAAACAGCCACTACGCTCCCTACAGTAGACGAAAACGAGGGTGCTGATCAGCCTGGAGAAAAAAGAACGTAAAACATCGTCCAAGGGGGCACGCGTTTGCCCAATAATGAAACACATCAACGCTCACATCCAGCAATCCCAAGAACATCGCTACTACCCCACCGGCATCGGTGAAGCTAAACCCACTGTTTGAAGGATGAAGGACAGACCCCACACGCCACAGTCCCCGAAGGATCGTCCCCTGAAATTCAGGGTTGCAGTGCAGGTACGTGTCGAGTCCATCAGTACCCCCACCCCCGGGTCGTGTTCGTTGCCCAACTTCATCGAGTACTGCTCCATGTTGCATCCAACCGAAGATTACCGCGCATATCTTGTACAGAAGTCGGGGAACAGAAATTGGCCAAGCATATGACGTAAAACTGTAGCTGTACGGGTACACGTAGAAAAAAAATCAAGACACATAGGCCCACTAATCGAAAATCGGGGTCCGGGGGGGGGGGGGGGGGGTTTT